ACAGGCAATTCTGAGACTTCGATTACTCAGCATTTGTTGTGTGTGATATCAATCTGTGGAACCTGGTCATTCAAGACACCCTTCTGGCACAACCCTCGCATCCTACCACAACCCTCGCATCCATGGAACATATCATCTGACGCTCTCTGAGTAAGAACCCTTGGGGTATGGTGAACATCGTGTAACACCTATGCCAGGCGTCATAAGGTCTTGTTACTCAACCTTCCAGTAGGTTGACGACTCTCTGAAAGTCATCTTCCACTGCGGTAGCATGCTCAACCCCAAGTCCATATGTCTCAAGATACTTCACTGCGTCTCGATGTCTCTTTCTCAATATGGTCTTCTCCGCCATATTGCCGCCTTGTCGTTGACGGCTTGGAGGGGAAAAGCAGCAAGACACTAAGTGATAAACTAAGCACGTGCTAAGGTACGTTGATACGTGGGCGCGTTAATACCAAGCAAGCCATAATCCCAGAAAAACAAGCAGTATCACGAAGATGGCCATTCATACTCTGCTGGCCACACAGTTCCCATCGGGAAAACATTTTGTAAAGGTCCTAGCATAATACCACAATCATCATCTGTCCGTCATAAGACAGAAGTTTCCTATAGGTATGGCCCCCAAAGTACTGTGGCTAGCTAGATGACGAATAGGAGAGGTAAGATAATTGAAAGGCCATGACAAGTTCCTGACATGGATATGGTATGTCCTTCTTTCTTAGAAATACCTAGCCTCGCTCGGTGTGCTTGGTAGCGACCTAGCTGGTAGGTATACTGCATTGCGCATACGCGAAAAGTGTCCGTCCATGTGGTCTTCGACTTTCCACTCCGCGCTGCACAACATACATGTGTCTCCGATCTTGATCAGGTGAGTGAGCTTCAATACGTTCAAACCCTTGAGGTCCCTGGATAACTAGTAATCTACGAAACTTTGAGGGTTCTGCATGTTGAAAAGTCTGAAATAAGCCTGTTATGTCGTCTAGTTCGACATTCGTGGACAGCTGGGGGGATCTTGTCTACAGAATATCTAGCCTCGATGGTGAATCTCAGGCGCACTGAAACCTGCAGTCTGACCCAGAGGTATGAAACCCTCCTACGATTGACACATTGGCATTTCACATCGGCCAACCTGTGTCAACGTCTTTTTGTCTGTCGCCAAATAGCGGGCTGAAATGTCTATCAAGTTTGTGCTTGACAGGAACCCCTATTCCCTGGCAGGAACAGGATTATGGACGGTTTTCTGACATCGACGGCTTCGAGTTTGCACACAAAGAGACTCTCTGAAGATGTGGTGGGGAAAAAGGCGCGGTGAGTCTATGTTCACAAACATTTTATGCCGTCGCCTTTCGAGTCTAATGTTCTCCGGGACCAGAAGATCAACTCTCTTTCATGTGGCCACCGCGCCTAGCACCACATGGAGTCAGATCATGCCATCATGACGCTGTAGCATTCGACCAACGACTCAAACATTACTCTCTCATCGCCCTTTGTCACTCTCACAACTACACTCAGTATCGCATATTTTCGCTGTTGTATTCATCCATCACAAAAACAGGAGACACCACTCCACCTCAACGGCTCGGTACAAGACCTAGTGGTACCACTTTTTACCGTTCTCTCCGATGAATTATTCACAACGAGCATCGCCTGATGCATTCGTTGCAAAATGTCGAAAACTTGACATGGGACACGATCAATATCGCATAGGACTGTGAGTCCACGAGCTAGAGTTCGCCTCGTTCCGGCTGATGGTGGAGGCTGGCAGCGGCGCACACCTTAACGGCAGATACGAGTGTGTCTACGAAGGTCAGTCTACCAATACTTGAACACTTTCAAAGCCAGTGTAACATACCATCTCGGTATTGGACATCGATTTGCTCGACCCACTGTAACGACATAAACTGTGGAGAGGTGCAGATACAATATATATCGGTGGCGGCGCAACCGGACGAGGCAATGACTTCGGTCAAGCAAACCGACTCGAAATGCGTCAATGACAAGGTCTCTATGGTCTAGTGAGGGTACTTACTGCTGGAGGGGGAGTAGGTCTTGCCTACGTCGAAGCAGCCAGACCAAGAAGAAGAGAAATAGGTAGGACAATAACGCTAGTGAAGCCCTCCATGGTAGCTGCGAGTGATTGTGATCAAAGGGAGCGTGGTGAGCAATCGATCTCCAAGAAGGGAGAAAAATTCAAGTCTTGAGAGGCACAGGTATATGGACACTGTGCATGGTAGGTGACGGATCGGTACCACCTGAGAATCCCCTCTAGCCTCAGAGACTGAGTGCTGTGACTGAGTCCATCATGACTCCACCGGACTCGTCTCGCAATTCATGGCCGGCGTGAGATAGTCCTGGATCACAGGCTCTCCAGGAGAAGTCGCACGCGAACAAGCTAATAGCCGACTCATCAATCAAGCTAGGAACTGGAGACAATGAGGCGCACACTCTGCGACCATGCATGTCTTAACAGAAGGGAATGCAATTTCAGTGTGTCCGGAGCCACGAACTCAAAGATAAGAGGAAAAGGCCCTCAGCAAGCCACGGACACCTGGTGCATGGCAGTGTGGGTGGCAAGGTCTCGATCGAAGCAGATCCCAGGAATATGTCGGAGGCTAAATATACCTTTGCACCGGATTGTCCGCCATCAAAGCGACGGGGTGTAAGCCACGGAAGCTGACACAAACACCCCCATACATGATTGCCACTCAAAGCATCTTTATCATTCGAACTGACAGCCAGGGGCTCCCGAGCCATTGGCCAGCCGGCAAAAGCAGAGCGGCTGACATGTCGTTGCCAATCTCCTGGCAGGCTATTCCCTGGTTCTAGGAATGCGAAATCTGCCATGAACTTCTCGTTGCGTGCCGGCGCGGGAATGCTCTGTCAGGCACACAAAGCTAGCTAGCAAGCAAGACCTGCTAGGTAGATATTGCCAGTCCGGCAGAATCCACGAAAGTATGTTTTGATAATGGCTGACGCTACCGGCATCTAGAGCAGGAGTAAGGAGACCAACTTCACGAGTTACACCAACCGCGGACCCTCTCAAGGAGCACTCACGGAAAAGCAGGACTTGAATGGGACCAATTCGTCGACTCCCTACGAGTGGTGAGAGGATTTTCTGCGCTCAATTCCTGTGGCGCAGCTGACAACACGGAAAACTCTTTTAACGGGTGCCTCGATCCTTGGCTGATGAGTATTTCGATCGCCGGAGGAGGCTGGTACAAGGCAGATTCCAGGCTATTGAAGGAGCATTTGACGGATGGCCGCGCTTTTTTGATAATCGACAGGTGCACTGGGCGACGGGGCCTTATACGAGCTGTTCAGGAGACCCATTGGTGGCTTAAGCAAGCTTTTCGGTAGAAAGGTGCTATAGCGTGGTGTGCACACCATCCATGAGCCCGACGCCAGTCATTGTCACTTTTGAGAGCGCATTAGGAAGAAGGTATAGCGAACAACCGTGGCAAGCGCTTTGACGATGAAGGCCCATGCGGCCACGCCGTCGATCGAGGTAGCCGATTGGTACGGCCTACTGTCGTCCGCTGGTTTGTCGTTCCTACCTCGTATCGCACGCATCTCGACGAGGTGAGGCGCACGGCACTTTGCCACTGTGGAGTGCAAGAAAACCACAAGCCAACGAGCAGCTGTCACTGGCTGTGTGATGATCATGGAGAAAGACTGATAGGGTTCAAGCCAGCTCTAGTTTAAGTTTCTGAAGAGCACAGATCAGAGGCCCGACTGACATGAGCAGCACGTGTTTTGCCGCCTCGTAAGTGGTTGTCTGACGGCCCCGTAACAGGCGCTGCTAGGCCACTGGCCGGAACCCAAAGTCACTTTTTAAGCGTATCAAGCAACAGCTAGAAAGCCCATCTCAGCCTCACAAGGGCAGGAACAAGACAGAGCAGCCTTAACGAAACAAGCTCCCCAGCCCTCTTCAATGCAAGATCGAGACAGGGGTTTGTAAATCTACGCGAGGAGACCATCGGATGCCTTGCATGACGTATTCTTCGCGGCTATTTTTCCTTCGTTGTAATGGATAGTACCTCCGCACGGGGGGAAAATCCTGCGGGACTTTTTTGATTGTAGCATAGTATGTGCCAAGACAGCCGGCGCGAACTCTAAGTACGGGGATTTAGGCTTCGCTAATATCAAGCCGGGGTCCCTAGCCGCAAACCAACGTCCATCTCGTAAAAAGCGTTACTCAGCGAAAAGAGTAGGCACCGCCTCTCATTGCATGGAGCATGCATTGCACTTAGCTGTCATACTGTGCCACTGCTCGTTGGATCGTTGAAGTATCGTTCCTGGCGTAGATGCTTGCTGCACTGTGGGCCTCTGGCCGAATTGCGAACAGGTAGCAGGATAGCTTCGACTCTTTCGGTCCATTTGATGCGTTTGGCATTGTCACTGGCGGCTACGAGCCTTTCGAAGGTCTTTCACGTGGGTCGAGTCCTCGAAGGGGGCAGGTTTCCACCCTTGCCCTGGCCCGGAGTTGTTGGTCAGATCGTGCCGCAACCATCTTGAGGCTTGGTCGAGCTCGCGCCCCGATGTTGCACAGTACGTTTCGCGTTCCTGCACTTAGTGCTTTCACTTGTCTCCGGACCTGCATTCTCATTTTTCACTACGTGCCCGTAATTACGAAGTTGCCGTGCACTCGAAACCGCACTATCGACTCGTGTTTCCAAAATCATGTCAATTACCACAGAGGCAAGGCGTCTAAGGAGTCGGCATCCTTGCACACAGGAGAATTGTTCTAGTTCGGACAGGTTTGACGAAGGCCTCAGTTGCCATCTTCAACCTCACCACCATTTGTCATGAAGAACCGACATACCTTGGGATTGTGACCTCCCTATTTATCAAAACTTCACCTGCTGACCAGTACCATGCTGGTCGGTAAACCATCTGCGCGCAGACGGCTGCTCGCCGGCGTCGCTGCGCTATTACTGATCTCTTTCTATTCTTTCCACAACAGAGAAGAATTCGTGCAAATGTTCGAGTACACCGGCATTATGGCATCAAACGGCACCCACGCCATTTTACCGGTCGCAACGCAGTTCTCCGCTTCATCGTTGACTGCAGTATCAAGTGCTCCTACGTCCACTGGAGCTAATGCTGTCTCGGTATCTTCGGAGCAGGATGCCAACCACGACAGCACACCGCCTTTATCAGATCAAGGTATCATCATCGAGCATCCATACGAGGTCGACTGGTCAGTGTACCGCGACTTTTCATCGCTTGCGACAACGGACGGTACCTACTTCGTCGTGGATTGGGGTCAGGGGGGCATAGAGGCATATAACCCGAGCTTTGTCCCCCATCCCAGCAACCATGACCAGTGGATTGTTGTTGCTCAACAATCGCTGAGTGACGAAGACTTGAAAGCACATCGCTCAGCGCAGCTTGCATGCAGCGCGAGTTTCGTTGACTCAAGTCTAGTCTGTTTGGAACCTCCAATCAAGCTACCTATACGGCATACACTGCCATGCGAAAACAATGACAAGCGTGGACCACATGATGCACGCGTCTTCTACGGCCCTGACATGCCCTACATTCTTTACGGTTCAGATTCTGCATTTTCCTGCCTCGGAATGTGGCTTCATGACGCGAGGACGTTACTTCCCGATTTCGACAATTTGACTCGTATGGACAATCCGTTTGGGGAGCCTGTCGACGTGCAAAAGCCAACGCCTCCCTACGGCGAGACGGAGAAGAATTATTTTGTCTTCTGGGACTTGGAGAGAAAGCCTTACGTGCATACCGATCTGATGGGAGGACGCCATGAGGAAGGTGTGCGCCAATTCGCACCCCTCAATGCCGATGGCTCAGTTGGGTCCGACCTTGCTCCTGCAGTTGCGAAAGCAGACAGCCTTTGTATGACAAATTATATGCCCCGAATGGGGATAAGGAATGACCCCGACGCCGGGTTTATTCGGTATGAAGCTATCCACCAAGCTTCGAATTCGCTCTCGATCACACTTTGCAAGAAGTCCGACCTTGAATGCATGAGTAAACCGAACAACACCTTTATTATGGTTGTTTTCCACCATAAAACATTTTATAGCTGGCATGCTGAATACCACCCATATATTATGCTTTTCCAGCAAAGCGCGCCGTTTGCGATACATGCCATCTCTCAAAAAGGAATTTGGATGCACGGCCGGACCACTCTCACCAACACTACCGACGCGAAGGAATGGCGAGGCCGGGACGACCTTCCTGTCGCTCATTCGGAGATGTTTTTCGTGACTAATCTAAGTTGGAAGAAGCACGGGCTGATGTACCACGGATATCTAGATGATGAAGTGTTTCTTGGATTTGGCATTGAGGACACTAGAGCTGGGGGCATTGACGTCTTAGCGGGAGACTTACTGCAAGATCTAGCATATTGTTTTGAAGCTGATATCTGAGCCCAGTCTCAGCCTTTGGGTCTGCGTTGAAGCGAGTGTTCCTAGCGTCGTGATAGTATGATGCACCTGAATTACGTGTTAAAAACATGGTGAAAGCTGTACCGGAGCTGTACGCAATGTTTGTCAATACTATTCTAATGACCTCAGTTCAGACTTATTGATTGCCACAAAGGCAAGGCGTCTAAGGAGCCAGCATGCTTGCACAGAGGGTTGTTCTAGCTTGGCCAGATTTGACGAAGGGTTCGGTCGCGACCCTCAACGGCACCGCCATCTGTGGTGAGGCAACAACATACCTGGCATGGAAGTCACCATTTTGCGGGCTTTTTGAGGCCCGATGAGGATAACCAGCGCCTCGAATAGTGACACATACTTCCGGAGGGTACCCGATACTCTACTTCAGTACGTAAGTACTATCATCTTCAACAAAACGTCCTGAGGTACTAGTGATCAACTCACTGATAAAGGACTAGAGTACAATCTACCGTCTAAAGAGTATAACCGTTCAATGAATAGTATGTGGCTGTTTTCGCATGGCCGAAGCGCGTCGTCTAGCAGGCGATCCACACCACCAAGGAACCATGTAAGACCAGTAGTAGCGGTGGGGCGCAACCTTCCACAGGGAGCTTGGTTCAAGACTAATCCGGTGCGCTAGGGGACGCTAATAGCCCGAGGAGAAATGCCATCCGAAGAAAGGTTCAACCTTTTTAGTGGCCTTACTATTCCATGACCACGATCGTTGCCGCCTGACAACGAACTGAAGCAAGCATTACTACCTATCGTCTCTGGAATTCCCTTCGAGTGGAAACAGCTATGTTACTGACTGTAAAGAGTGCGGGATGGAAGAGGCTCGTCTTCGTCCTCGCCCTGCTTTTCTTTCTACAAGCTCTTACCTTATTGCATTGGCATCACGAGAGCGTCAAGAAGCGAAATTCTCTGCACACTGCGGCTGTCTTGCACGCGTCTACTGCTGCGTATCCATCTCCAGCCGACACTGAGTATGCCTTTGGCTCGAAAGGCAGGAAAGTTGCCGCTCTCGCAGAGTTGGCTCAGCATTATGTGGACAATCCATCACTACCCTACACCCGTTTGGACGAGGCTATCAGGCAAGAATTCCCTTGGTGGGTTCCAGAAAAGCTTTCGTATATTCCCTGGAGGTCTACAATACGGTCACAATCCTGGGAGACTATCTTTGGGTGGAATACGACTGGTTTAGTAATCTGTGCAGGAGATGGGCAGGCTTGGGAAGCTGCACACTTGATCAGCACTCTAAGGAATGTTATCAACAGCAAGCTTCCTATAGAAGTTGCGTATGCAGGCGACCAAGACTTGTCTCCTACTACACGAGAATTCCTGGCAAACACCAGCAGCGAGGTACATTTCGTGGATCTTACTCAGATCTTTGACGATCATGTTGTCGGTCTTTCTGGTTGGGCCATGAAGTCGTTCGCAATTGTAGCGAGTCGGTTTGCCCGCACGATCCTGGTCGACGCAGATACGGTCTTTTTCTTCGCCCCAGACACTATATTCAGTACTTACCCAGGCCTCCGTGAAACCGGGGCCCTCTTCTTTCACGATAGATTTACTACCTCGTCATGGTCGTATAAAGCTCCTGCACGTCGAGGTTGGGTCGCCGCAGAACTTATAGCTACGCAACGAGCCGCTTCAGTTCATCTCAATACTAGTTCACTCTTTTATAGGGAGTATACTACTGAGGAGGCAGACTCGGCTATGGTAGTTATCGACAAATCGCAAGCTAAGCTCTATTTAGCTACACTCTTTGCTGCTTGGATGAATACCAAGTATATAAGGGACTTTACATACGATATGTTCCACGGCGACAAGGAGACATATTGGTTAGCAACAGAACTTTCTGGGGCAACTTATTCATTTGAACCCTGGTCTGCAGCTATTATGGCTGAAGATGACTCTTCGGAATCGATAGCAGAGCACTTAGGCAAAAAGTGTACAGAACATATGGCTCATGCAACAGCAGATGGTACTGAACCATTCTGGGCTAACGGGGCTATCTGGAAGGATATAAAGCGCAAAGATCTAAGCTTTGTCAATTGGACGCACTGGTTCCTCGGCAGCAGGATTGACGAAGTACTCAACACAGGACAGACCCAGTCCAACGAAGAAAGAAAACCAGACATCAGCTCAACGCAGCCCGTCTGGGATGGATGGGGAACTCTGGAAACGTGTCCTCAACACGATGAGAGCAGATGGAGGGTACTGAGCCCCCGTTTCAACAAGACTCTCGCAGCATTACTTGCAGAAGCGGAAGCAGTCAATGAAAGGTATTCAAGACAGCTATCCCGAAGTTAGTGCGAGAAAGAATGCAAAAAATGCCAGATTTAGGTCAAGAAATACAACATTGAGCCTCCCCATAAAATGCTTGTTGATAAGAAGTAAGATATAGGCGTAACGTGCCTTCCAATGTAAATCTATTCATCGAATTCAGCTATCCGATTGCATTGTTTGAAAATGGCAATGCAGCCACGGAGCTCTCATGGCGCTCTCGAAACCGAAGGTGGCTGTACCTTTAACTCGCAACAGGAAAAGGACCTGTCTCGTAACAGGCAATTCCATGCTGCTGGCTGGACTGAACGAACGCCACAAAATTACCCTTGCATTGTATCCGAGATGCATGACGACGCTAATAAAGCAGGTCCGGAGCTGGCCCTCGGCTCGGGTCAATCAAGTGCATGTGGGCCCTGGATTGTCCTGATGCACAAATTTGGCACAGCATATGGTAGCACTTGCACCATTTCCTGTCCTCCAGTCTCCAGTGACTCTGGTTGATACGGATGCTGCAGCAACTGGCGTGATTTCCGACCGGTCTCAAGTCACGAGTAAGACTTAATGATCGGAGCGCCTTCTAGAGGAGCCAAGCGGGGCCGATTTAGCCTTGCTTACGGTGAGTCTCTCGGACATCTCAGGCGTTTTAATTATCTATGCCTCCCATTTCCACCACCACCCCGTCTCACTCCATCACAGCGTCAGGAAAAATGCAATAGCACTATATCAACCCGACATTGTTCAGCCAGAGCCGCTATGTCAAAAGCGACACATCGTCTCTCCGTTCAAGACCTGGAGAAGCATGCACCAAGACAGCGACCTGATTTTATTTCGGTCATGTCAAGGTTGGGCTATCATCTCCTCCCGAGTTTCCTTCAGAAGTCACCAAAGGCTCGCCCAAAGCATGGTGGTATAGCTGCCCTCGATGGGCTCAGAGGACTTGCCTGCCTCTTCGTCTTCAACGAGCATTATGTCATTTGCTACCAGTCCAAAAACAGTCAGCATTGGATCAACCGAGTCCCATTCATACGTCTATGGTGGTATGGCAAAGGAGCTGTCTTCCTATTTTTCGTCATCTCTGGCTATGTTCTGAGTTACAAACCGCTCAAGCAAATTCGATCAAGACAGTATGAGGAGCTTCAGAACACCATGGCATCAGCGACTATACGACGCGCATTTCGACTGTACCTGCCGTGTCTAGCTATGAGCGCTGTAGCCTGCGTCCTCACAAGCCTGGGAGGATTTGATTCAGCGACGGAGATCTACAAGGAATACGCCGACTATCTCTTTCTCAAAGAGCCTCCTCCACCACATGAACCAACTCTTGCGCGTCAATGGGCTTTATGGTGGACCAATTACAGGTTCATTATTTGCGCGACTTTCCCTTTCAATATCGAGCTGTCTGAATGGTGGTACTTCAAGTACGACGATCATCAATGGTCAATACCGGTCGAATATCGCTGTAGTATTGCCCTCTTCATGGTTCTCATTGGAACATCACGCATGAAAACTATCTGGCGTATGCTTACGGTCTTTATCATCAACAGCTATCTGTACAACTCAGACCGTGGGCATGCCGCTTTGTTTTTTGGTGGCATGTTTATCGCAGAACTCGATCTACTTCGACAGTCTTACACTTCTTCCACCAACCACATCAACTCGAAGACCCCTCCCTCGTACCTAAAACCTCTCTTACAACTTTCTGAACGTACTTACGAGTGGTTCTGGTTCATCGTCTTCGTGCTGGGTTACTTTATGATTTCCTCACCTATCGAAAATCAGTGGGAGAAAGGAAACTGGCTCCCCCATGCTCTCGAGAGCTGGGTAGCACATCCCGATGAATTTATCCTTTCCTACGGCTCGATACTCACTGTTTGGGGTGTCGCCAACTCGAAAGCCCTGGGAAAAGTCTTTCTACATCCTGCCGTCCTGTATCTTGGCTACATATCGTATGCTCTTTACCTTGTTCATGGAACAGTGATCAAATCACTTGGTTACCTCTGGATGCCATATACACTACGGATCGCAACATTCACACCACCAAGCGTGGCTTTGAGTAAAGAGTGGTGGGACGGTGTCACTAATACTCAAGCTACGGTAGCACACATCTTGGGGTATGTTGTAGTTGGATCGGTTGTTTTTTGGGGGTCAGACTTGTTTTGGAGATATGTTGATGTTCCCGTCGTATCTTTTGCGAGATGGGTTGAGCGTAAATTAAGTGTAGCGGACTCATCATAAAGCGCAAGTACATAGTAGTCTAATTTATTTCTACTTGCTATTCATTCTCTCGATTCAGAGACAGAGCATGAGGAAGCGTGCAGTCCTTTTGCTAGAATCCTAAAATTAGGTAGTTAGGAATTAATTCCAGTTTTTGTATACACTTTGCCTCGGAAGATTCTTATGGCTTGAAAGGCTGCTGCGTCCAGTCTACCAGAAAGCCCATCGACGCTCTGGGTGATGCTTGTGCTGGCGATGCCGGTGCTTGTGTCCTCTGATCTATCTCCTTCGTCCACTTCATCGCTGTGATCCTACTCGTCTTGATCCTTATCGTCCATGCCACTTGGACGGTCCTGTCATTAATACTGAAAGTGACACTCATGACATCCTGTCAGTCACAGGTATCACGTTGGGCGACGCTGTTTGAGATCATGATCGAAGCCTTGTCTCAGAACAATCGTCGTCTTGTCCCAGCTCCACGATGGCAGTTCCAAAGTCGAGCGACTCACTCGCAAAGGCCAAGTAGTAGTGGCTATCAATCTTAAAATTGGAAACGGGATAGATACAAAATTAGTACCCCCACGTAGACTGCCTCCCTTCTCGTAGTGCGTGCTCAGGAAATTCTGGGGAACGTCTTGAACATAAGTTAAATCGCAATCGCCACAACGAAGATGACATTTCACGACACGTAGAGGTCAAGAGCTGTAGATGAAGTGAATATAGTCGTTCGGCTTGCGCCGAGTAGAATAAGTTCATTACGACAAGCTTTTACTTACAAAGGTGAGCGAAGACATGCCACCTTCATCCCAGCCGGCACGTCAGTACAGTTCCAAAGGGTGCGGACCCTACACGAAAGCTTGGGATCAGCAGCCGCATGGACTCTTCATGGGATGATGTTCGAGGCTCGGCGGGATTGTTTGCCAAACCGAGGTTCTCGCCTCCCATACTAACCAATCATTCAGCGATGCCAATCGCTTCAAGGGTCGCTTCGTATTCGCCAGCCTCCAGAACCTTGGCGAGGATTAAACAGCCGGACGTGCAGATGCGCTAAGTAGACCCCATTCTCTCGCCCCGTTTCATGGACAATAATGTTTTGTAGCCTTCGTCCTGGCAATATCTCGGAACGCCATAGCTCGATTTCCCAATTCTACAAATTCCCCTGCGGAAGGATGAAACGGACCCTCTGTAACCATAAATGGATATCCAAGACCGGGTAGGTGAGTAGGTATTCTGCTAAATCTTTCCCCAGTCCGACCTAATTGGAGTACACTAAAACTGCAGAGGTCGTGGCCCAAAGCGTTTTTCAAAGGATCTGCAATCAGGGGTTCATTTTCTCATTTTCTATCCTTCCGGTATTGAATCAACATCTCTTTGGGGGCAAGTTCCCTAAGTCATGTTTGCTGTCGCATGCATACACCGCAACGCGCTGGCCCCTTCGCCTACCGTCGTCCACTGATGACTTCTTCACCAAGAAATCCCTTTCGTCAGATCTAACTGCCTACCGCCGACATGGGTCAGACTAGCTATGAAGCGGCCGATCGTACCCACGCAATCGAAAGTAACAACCATCCAGGGACACTGGCTCTCTTCCTTTACGATACTCAGATTGCTCCATGCCTGCGATCGACATCGCGGTTACGCATGAGATCGGTGAAGCTATATACTGCAGCGATCTTTCTGAGTCTGTGCTGGTTGGCATGGTCAGAGAATCTCAGATTCATCCGCGGGGATAAGGTCAGTTGTCTTACCCTGGACCGCTCTATTGTTGTGTCTGACGTTGCTCGTTGCCTTGCTCTACAGCCCCAGTCGTTGCTTGTTCCAAATACTCCGAGTTGTGACCAATGTCCTTTTCAGCCTATACATTTATCGGGTTTCAGCAATCATGGCGTGCCTGGTAACGCCATGTGCGATGCATTGCGTTACAATCAGACTATTGGAGTGCAGCAGAGTTTTTATCTACATGACAACCTTACCGAAGTTGTACTCCTTACCAAATCCCATCCTCTGGTTGCATATGAAGTTGAGAGCTACGCAAAGAACTCCGGTCATGAAGACATCGATAACGAAACATGGGCACGACTTTCGGGCTCAAGCGTCTGGCTTCCTGAGCATGCTGTCTTTCTCTCCGTGACACGTGTCACCTTCTACCCCGGAGGATCTCTAGACTGGCCCACAGTCAGCTTTCTTCGTGGTCAAGTGTATGACGCAGACTGGAATCATCTCGAGGACTACATTCTAGATTGGTTCGGCGATAAGATTGTGTTCCCACTGATTTTCGAGATCCCTTTCGAATGGAAGGAAAACGGAGCCGACCCCTACGGACCAGAGGATCCACGCGTGGTCTTAGAAGACAACGTAAGAGGTGCCGAACCGGTCATCATATTCAACATGCAATCCAATGCACCAAATTGGTTCCGAGCGATGTGGGTCTACCGGCCATTTTCGAACTTCACGACCGTCCTGACTATTAGAAACGAGGACAGGAAAGATGTGGAGAAGAATTGGATGCCTTTCTTTCATCGTGTCGATGCGGGCCTGTCAAGCAATTCTCCAAATGAGTACCTTCATTTCATCTATGGCTTCGTGCCTCTGCGGATACTCAAATGTCATCTGCTCAGCGGTTATTGCGACTGGGCATATCAACAAGACATCACCCCCGAAGTCGCCGCTGGGAAAGAAAGTCGTGGACAATTACATGGAGGAACCAACTTCGTGTCAGTGCCCTTTGATATCCTGCAGAATCCAGGTATACAACTCTACGTTGGCTTTCCACGTACATCGCTTATTTCGGGGTGTGAAAGCCGGACATACCGCCCAGAGCTTATGGTTCTATCCAGCACGGGCTCAAGCCAATTCCACATCGCCTATACCAGTGACGCACTCGACTTTGGTGCTGCAATCTTGACCCCAGCTGCACGGGCAGATCCGTGTGGTGAAGGTCACATTCTGATTGCCAACAGTATTTCTCACTGGAATCGCAGCGCTGCACAAGATATCATGACAATAACGTTTAGTGTAATGGATGTGACTGTACAGGTTGCGAGGTTAGAAGGCTTGGGGGCACTTGTTCAAAGTCTACCATACTTTGAAGACCTGCTGGACTACAACACTGCTCAAGGCGAGAACCATGGTATGGAGGCGTTCTCATGGAAATCGGCCAAGTCGCTCATAGGTGCTGACGTTGTGGCATGCGCCGTAGAGGCCGCAAGCAACACCAGCATAAGAGACGCCACCAAGGCTAGAGAGGAAATGGCAGGGATGTCTCAGGACAGCTATCTCGGATAGCTGGAACAGTTATGACGAGCATGCCTTGGCACCTTGGCATGATCCTGTACAAGGCTTTCATTCTTCTTGATTAGACGAACACAACAATGTGTCACGATGGCACTTGCTGTCTGAAGCTCTCGTCGAGCGCTGCAACAGGTGCGTGGCATCGCAGAGTTCACGGATTGCAAGAGCATTGGCTATAAGCTTCAGGCGACTTTAATGTCTAGAACCTCTAAAGACTTAGGCACGACGTAGGTAAAGCTTATAGGCGTAAGTCTTAGCACTTAGAACTTCAAAAATTATTACTAAAAGAGATACTTTTTATAGTACGTACGCGTTATTAAATCACGAAAAAAATACAGATAATTAGTATCAGTAATATCGTAATCGCTCGCGCTTTCAAACAGTGTACATACTAACTGTGATCATGTGGTGTTTGAAAAGTTGATTGTGGACTGTACTGGGTGCATTTGCATTTGCATTTGCATTTCTGAATTATTGCGCGGACACGTGTCGTAGTGAGCCGCCGTACCAGGCCAGGCAAGCTGAACAGTGGCGTGTAGAAAAGAAGTAGAAGCTTTGTCCTTATTTTGTACCTGTTTTAGCATTCATAGAGCATGCAATCCAAGAGTGTCCTCTACCTCAAGCTTTGCCAGCTCCATCCTCTCCGCATCATCTGTTGCATAATATGTAACATCAGCGAAATTCTCCAGCGCCATCTTCGCATTTGCCGGAGATAGACTTCGGTCATACCGCTCATTGACTGTTGCATTAAACTCTCTCATCTCCCTGAATTGTTTCCAAAATTTGTCCACTCGATGACCATAATCCGTCTGTTGTAAATCAATGTCCCATTCGGCCGCTCCTGGTCCTTCTATTCGCTCTAACCACAACCTCAGTCGGGTATCTCTATCCCAGAGGCCGGCGAAGTGAACAAGTAGATCTCCAGGGTTTGGCTCGAAAGCGTAGGCGTTGAACCATGGGCGAGGCATATATGCGATGTACTGATGATATTGACTCTCATTGAAGGTTAATTGCAATGCCATCTGGTCGAACGAGAAGCCAAGGTCGATATCGGGACTGATTTCGGGATAGTTGATTGACTTCATCAGGATTTCGATCGATTGTTCGTGAACGCGGACAAAGAAAATACCACTGTTGAGGCCACCCTCGTCTTTCGTCACAAGAAAGTGCACATTTGATAGGTCGTCTGGTGGAAGGAAGACTTGTACGGGGAAAGATGGGTTGAGGATGACTGAGTCCGCATCAAACCACCTGTGGTATTGTTAGTAGCAGGTCAGAGAACTCGCCGATGGAGTGGTTTTACATGAGCCATTTCAGACGCAGCCAGGGTTCTTTGCTCATTTCGCTGAGGAGGAGAGCGAGCAGATAGTATGGCTTATTCCAATAGCCTTGCGCGAGTTGATTGCGGAGGACAAGTTGGATGTATCCTTGTCGTGAAGAGTGAGTTTGGTGTGTGACCATTGCTCTTTCATACAACTCATTAATTTCGCCGTAGAGCATTGAGACTTTCGCGATTTGACACTGCTCTCGTTGGGAGATGCTCGTGGTGGAATTGAAATCAAGGATAATCTCATTGAGCTCGGACAGGCTTTCATTCAGCCAACGATCGTGCTCAGTAAGCTCGTCGAGTCGTAGTCTAAGGTCTTCACCAGGTTCGGAAGACTCACTCAACCTCTGTAAGTCGGCTCTCTCATGTGCCTGAATCAGGTAGAAAGTAAACAACAGCACTGAAATGAGAAGGCAAACGTGCTGAAGCGATTGCAGCCAGAAGCCTCGCGTCTGCACAGATAGGTTAACCCACACGGTCATAAAATCAACAGCCAGCAACACATACCAAGAACGTCGGTGTTTGGGGCATTTTGCACAACAAGACTGCGCCTTAAAAAAATTCCATACGCCTGGCGACACGAATTACCAAGTCGACCACCTGGAAGAAAAGTGGAAGTTGCGAAGACAACGAAACACTTTTTCCAGATTCAATCTGGACAAGTCTTCTTATCTGCCGGCTACCCCAGGCCAATTCTTGGTAGGGTGCTCGAACCGTAGTACTCGTGAATAGAAATGAAACTCAGCCAGAGCCATAAACAGAATCGCTCGGTGAGTGTTTCAGTGGCAACAACGAAAGCGGACGCAAAACCTCGGAGACAAGCCCAAACCCTGCTCGATGAATAGGATGGCGAAACCACAGGTTGCCCAACACACCTTCTAGCTTTCAGGGGATTATCTTGCCGCAACCAAGCCACGACCAGATTAGCTGCACAATTATGAGACCTCCACAGGAATACGAGACTCTTTGAGTTCCCCCACAAAATCCCGAACCTGCATAAGCTCAACTTTAATGGCACCGCTGAATAACATGACGGAGATAGAAGAGGCAGCAAGGATGCATGACTCACTTAGCAGGTACGCTAGTTACGCTAGGTACGCCAAGATGTTGACAGAAGTCCAACAGCGTAAGTTTCATGAGACTATCCATCGCTAGTAATGACAGCAGCCATTGATCAAGGATGAGGTGACCCGTCGGAGCTGAAGAACTAAACGCCTGCCATCCGAAAGCCAACAAACTAGCTCAGTCCGGTGCCAAGCCGGTGGACGCCTTGAGAGACTATCATATGGATATATCATATGGATGTTAATTAACTGCCAGTGCTGATAAGACTATCAGGAGCGATGACCTGCAAATTTCATCAGCTAGCGACGTCCTGGTCCACTAATCACGATCCCACTTCAATGACCACAACCCTTAGATATAAAAGAGGCTTATAACCATTTGAAACCCGTAGGTAGTAGCATTCTTAGTTGTAGGACTAACTATCTAGTGGCGCTGAGCGTAACTATGAACACTGTGGCTCCATCACAATATCTGAAAGTGGCACTGACTGAGGCGGTGAGGCATACGTGACCCAGGGTCCAATAATGGGGCCTCCTCTTCTCTGATCAAGCTGATCCCGAGGTCTCTTGGCTCGTTGTTGGATGACAAGGCTGTTGGCTAGACGGGGACGCAAGGCTGAATCACACGACAGCCGACCTAGGCACGTGACCGAAAAAGTTTCAGATTGTGATTATTCAGCGTATCAGAGATACCAAGGGATATAAAGACGGTTAAAGACCGTCAACTAACTTAGGAGGATATCGTACACGATATACGACCTCCGAATAAACATATAGTCTAACGAGCCCTTACGGCCCTTGAGTAATAATAAGTCCTCCGTAAAAATTATATCTAGTAGTAACGATTTAATAACTCTCTACCTTAAGCTAAAGCTTCTAAAGCTCTTATACTTTTTCGAAAGAGAAGAAGTATAGTTAGAACGATCTTAAGATCTCGAAAACGATACGATCTTTAATTTAAAGTATATCGTAAAATACTTAGGTATTCGATAAGAATCGTTATAGTAACGATAATATCTTTATTCTAAAAAGTAATCTCTTCTTTCTCGAGAAAGAGCTCTTTTACTCCTCTTAAAGACTATCGAACTTTTAGCGAGACCTTAGAACGACGAGACTAAAGAAGATATTAGTTAAGAAAGAATTTCGATATATAATTATCTCTTTAAATTACTTAGTCTTATATAATTATCTTAACGCGGATCCCCTTAAGATAATTTAGCTTTCTTTAATTATTTTGAAGTTAATAATAAAATATAAGTAGTCTTCGAAAATATCGCTATAAACTATATTAATATTTTCGAAAATAAAGATAAATATCTTTAGCGACTTTAAACCTTATTAAGTTCTTAAATAAAACTTTATCGAAACTAATATACTTTATTCGAAATAACGCGAATAGTTTTAAATAAATCTTTTAAGATTATCTTAACTATAGAAATCTCTCTCGATAAGATAAGAAACTATATTAGCGCGATAAAAAGATTAAAATTCTCTTAAAATAACTCTTTCGAAAGAAATAATTAGGCTTCGAAAGATTAAAGTATAGCTACGATTTAAAGTAAAGTACTTCTATAGGGATAGAGCTAAGCTCGATATATTCTTTATATAACTTAAAGTAGTGTTTACACTATAGCGAGGTAAGTATAATATATATACCGATAGAGTCCTATACGCCGAACTCTATATAAAGGGCTTAGCCTTCTACTAGTTTAAACTAGTTATAGTGAATTATCTTATAATATACTTAGATCAATAAGATAAGGAAACCAAGGCTATCTTCGATAACTTCAATATTTTCGAAGCTCGACTTAAATAAATCTTTAGTATACTAGGAGAGAAATAAGTAGTAGCCCAATATATTCAATAACTCCGACAAACTAAGTTAGTAGCCTAGTACTATACGTTATTTTAAAGGCTTACTACTAAACTCGATTAGGAATCGAATGTCTTCGTATTAGCCTATTATTTAGGACTAAAGGATTCGATTAAAGACAAGATAGAGATTAAGCGACTAGATAAATATAAGAAACTAGTCGCTAAATCTATTAAGATCGATAATTGACTCTACGAACGAGCGATAAAAAGGAAAGGGTTTTAAGGAAGAACTAGTGAAACGTTCTATTAAAAGAAGAATCGTTACTAATCCTATAGAGACTTAATAGACTTAGATAATATAAAATATAGTCGATCCTTACGACTAAAAGATAAGTCCTAACGCTAAGGCCTATTACCTAGGGAGCGAGAGAGACGTAAGAAAGAAAATCTATACTATAGTTATAGAAAATCCGGATATAGGGCGCGAGAATACGATACTCGTCTATAAGGACTATATATAATAAACGATATAGCCGATATTAGAGAAACAAAGGCCGATACTCTAATAAAAGAAGAACTTAAACGTAAAGTATAAAATAACGAACGTACTTAAAAAGCTAGTAGCCCCGAGAAAGTATAGAAGGAGTTAAAAAAGACTTAGGGAGAAGAAGCGCTCTTACTACTATAAGTTAAATATAGTGAAGAGAATATTACTATCGTAAAGACTTATTATCTAGAAAGTATAGATAACGAAGAAGCTAATAAATACGAGATAATCGATAAATACGAAATAAAGTTATAGACCTTCTATTTTAACGATCTTTATACTATCTATTAACTCTTTAAGGAATAGTTAGGATAGTTCTCTTACGAAAAGAAAACTAAAGTAAAGACGAATAAATTTAAAAAAGCTTAATAAGATACGCTTATAGTTATAGAATAGAAAGATATTCCTTATTAAGAAAAATATAAGATAATTATATAAAGTAACTACGTTATAGTTATCTTAACGCTATACTAGTTCGAGATACTCTATAATAAGTATTATACGGAACTAAGGCTAAACTTATATAGAGAAACTTATCGAAAGTTTAATTTATATACTAACCCTAAAAGAAAGGAGGAACTAGTTCTATTAATACGCTATATTATAATAAGATACAACTAAAGACGAACCTATATATACAACGTAGTAAGAGAAAATCGATACGACTTTCTATTCGCTTTATTAAACGATACTAATATAGATAGCGAATATAAGAAAGTACTCTTAGACAAGACTAATCTACGAGAAGTAAGGAACGTCCTAAGACGAGGAGAGACAATAGTAGTTATACGAATAAAGTACTAAGTAAAAGAATCGTATTAGTACTAAGACTAATACGTATAGAAGTATCTTCTTTATAATCTAGAAGAGAAGCCATAAGGAGAAGATAAGTATATTATTTTATAGAGATACTATAACTACGATATAAGAAGTCTAGTATACTATCACTAAGTAATTAATAGTTACTAGTTTATATTTCCCTTTAAGGAAGAAAATACTCTTACTCGAGAAGACCTAATCGAAGAAATAGTCGTTAGATACTATATTTAAGAAACTAACGACTATAGAGTAATTATTAAGACTTACTTTTAGAAAGAAGACGAGTAGTAAAGAAGAACTATTTAAAAATTTAGTTCAAAAACTAAAATATAATCGAAATATAAATTAACGGAATCTCGAAATATCGAAATTAACTATACGAAGATAAAGAAAATATATATATATACTAAATAAAAGAAGTAGATATATATTACTTTATTACGACGAATATCTTCTTAAATAAGAAAGACGATAACGATAAACTATTATAAGAACTTATAATAATAAAAGAAACCTAAAATAATACTAATTTAATTAAGTTTCTAGTTACTAAAGTTATACGACGATTATAAGTTATCGTTACGTAATATTAAAAAAATATAATATACTAAAGAGAAAATTATTTCTAAGAATAATAATACTTATATACGATATTTGATCTAGAAGTATAACTAAAAGAATATATTAAAACTATTATTTTATAGCTATATTAAGATACTAGTTATATATAAGCGCTAAAGATATATATATATCGAGAAGATAATAATAAAAAGATCGAAATTAAGCTACTAATCGAGATCGCTAGAATCGTCTATAGAAAAGACGACTCTACGATATACGATATAACAAAAAACAATAAGAAGAAAGCATAACGAGATAAAGCTTCCTTCTAAAATAGCCTTAGAATCTATTCGCTATCTTATACCCTTAGTATTTAATACTATTAGTCTTCGACGCTATACTAGCCGATAAGGAAGTATAAGTAATAATAAATTATAAAGTAAATTAGAATTACGTATTACTATAGCTTACGAAGAAATTATATAAATAATATCGATAAAAAGCGAAACTTTACTTACTAAATATAGTAAATAAAATATCTATTAAGTACGGCGAAGAGTAGATTCGTAGAGAAATTCGAGACGTCTAACTCGAAATCGAAGGTTATATTAAATAAATTAATCTCGATATTATACTAATTAAATACGATATTATATTAAAAATAAAATAGCTTTAGAAATAAAGATTAGTAATAGACTAGTAAGAATAAACTCTTAAGTTTCCTAATCGTAATTACTAAAATAGGAAAGAGGATTAATTATTCTCTAAGTTACTTATTAAGATAATATAAGTAAGACTAAACTAGAAGATTCTCGTTAATATAATAAAAGAGATCTCGAAAGAATATCGAGACTTCGTAAATCTCTTTAAGAAAAGAGAAGACTTAGCTATATTACTAGGATATAAACTATAGAACTATAAAATATCTCTCGAAGATAGAAAAGTATCGAAGTATAACGAGTAACTTCGATAACTATCTAAAAAAGAAGAAGACTTTCTTAAGGACTATATCGAAAAACACGAGAAGAAAGACTT